AAAAAAAAAAAAAAAAAAAAAAACAATCGTTCTGCGCTACAGATTGTTACAGCAATTTCTACGTTCGGAAACTCTGTATAAAGGTCGTTTGCACGCAAAAGTTTCAGAATATCGGAAGGTGAATTTTGTTCCATCTTTTTTTCAGTGCAACAAGCATGAAAGTGCACAAATTCGTCCTCCAGTGAGCACTCAAGATCTGAAGAATAAACATTTTGTAAACGTTTGGCGCTGTTACGAATCTCTCTATTATCCAAATTGCCAAATTCAATAATAACTGAGAACTTTTCATAAATTTTTTCATATGCAACACATCTTTTTCGCAATTCAGAATCTAGATTGCCAGGAATGACTATAAAAGTGGTCTCGACCTGACAGTTGTATATCTCCATCCCCTGATTCATCGGCATGTAATTTTCTGTTTCTTTTTCTAGAAACTGTCGTTTTCTATTCTTTTATCTCTGAAATATTTAAAGCAGTTTTTTCATTTCGAATTCATTTCTGGTATCAGCAACAACTTTGATCAAACCACGATAATCGTCGATCACGTCAGCAATGCGACAATCAAGCTTCATAACGAGCTGACTATTTCGTTGCAGATAAAGATTGTAACTCTAATAATTTTCTGTAGTGAAACACGCTCATCCAAAACAGTAAATATCCCAAAATTTAAATATAACTAAATTTTCGACATCGTGCACATTCTCTTTAAATATACGTTCTCTGCTATTATTTTTATAAAATAATTTCGATGTTTCACATCTGCCAGCTGTCAACTGACAGCTAATTTTTTTATTTTTCTGCTTTCCAAATTTTGCCTCCATAGAAAATTTTCCGCCCTGGGCACTAGCCCCGACTACCCCTAGCGTGGTTGGTGATCCAGATCCATTCTTGATCCACAGATAGATCTAGAATTATACGAAATAGTGAATGGACCTGCATTCACCACAATCCCACTTCGCTTTATATCTTCTTGATTGGCGTAGACACCGCTTACGCGGTTATAGCCGAGTTAACAACAGCGCGCCAGTCGTTTCTTCTTTTCGATACGTGGCGCCAATTAGATATTCCAAGTGAAGCCAGGTCCTTCTCCACTTAGTCCTTCCAACGGAGTGGA